AAAAATAAGTCATGATTTAAGCAAGCCACCATATGCAATAAGAGCTTAAAAGTTTTAATGGATATCAATGATTTTTTTTTTCAAAATTAGACATTTAAAAAACATGTGATATCTGATCCGTTTTGGAGTTTATCAATAATACAATGTCACATGATGTCTGTACATCGATTATCTGTTCCAGACCATTCTCATTGGGGCAGGCTGTGGTCGCTAGTACTTCTAAGGGACACAGTTTATGGGTATTGAAAATAATAACGTAAACATTAATTTAGGATAAGGCTGTTTTTGTTTATAGACGTCCCTTCGAGTAGTTAGGTTCAAGACAAGAATTTAATGGTTACGTTATTAAAGGATTATATAACTCAGAAGTGAATCGTGTATATTCAATACCACATGGCAGACGCAGATAATATAGATATTTGCTAATCTCCTGAAAATACTTTCAACAAGTCTATCATATGTGATGCGAAAAAAATCATCATATTCTAAATATAATAATACAACAATTAATTGAAGAATACGATGATTTTTCTAATTTATTTCAGACACGTGAATGTGATCTCTCACTCGTTTTGGAGTTTATCAGTAGTTCAATTCAATATAATACCTTGTCACAGATATGTACATCCAATTCTCACTGGGGCAAGCTGTTATCCATAAAACTCATAAAGTGTCTTAATTAATTTTTTAAAATTAAAAATAGTTTAACACTTCCAACACCCATGTCAATAAACTCTCTCTGTAGAACCTTTTAATAGAAAGTTCTTTAAATTAAATAATTTTCTAATCAATTTTACTCTAAAACACTCTTAAAAAGGGTCATTATTAATGATGCCCTCCCAAGGGGCACATTTTATGGCTATTGAATATAATAACATAAACATTAATTTAAGAAAATATTCATTGCAAATAATATTGATACATTATGTTACACCAAAGCCGAAAATTTCCTGACATTGTCTAAGAATCTGAAATGGCTACAAACTTCAAATCACTACTACCAATCATCGGTATTAAGCAAATATCACTCTCACCATCGGTGCTTTCATGTCATGTATTCATACTATGCTATGGAAACTAAAAAAGTGAGACAATGTTGTTGTAGATGTCAGCCCTTTGCTGCTCAAATGTGATGATTTCGACATGATGGAGGATGCCGGCGTGGCCGAGGTTGTCGGAAAACTAGACCGGGCTTGTCGGGATGTCGGATTCTTCTACGTGGTAACAAAAATTTAAGTTCTTTTTTTAGGGGGTTTATAAAAGGTGTTTGGTCTGATTTTGGTTCTGTGAAGTAGATTGGTCATGGAATTTCGGAAGATCTTATAAAGAATGTTAAAGAGGTGACGCATCAATTCTTCCAGCTTCCATATGAGGAGAAACTTAAGATCAAGATTACTGCAGCTGCTGGATACAGGTTTGTTAACGTAAAGATCTGAAATATGATCCAAAACGTTTAATTAGATAGGTGCATTTTGATCATATCGAAATATACATTAGACATACGTTATTAAACATAGATAATTTATTTGCCTCTTCAAACATAGAACAAAAATTTAAGTTCTTTTTTTAGGGGGTTTATAAAATGCCATTTCCACCATTACATGTTTTGTGGCATTTCCGCCGTTGCATGTTTTGCGATCTTGTGGAAGGAGAAGGAAAGTACTCTGAACTTCATTAAAAATGGATCTTGTTGTATATTAAACTAGTGTTTTTACGCTAAGTTCTTACTAGTTCCCATAAAAGAAATATTACACGAATTGGATAAAAAAATCGAATTGAACACGCTAAAAAAAGTCTTTCCAAGAATCGAATCTAGTGTTTATTGTGGAGGATCATTAATGGAGTGTTGAAATACACAGAGGATATCAGAGAATTGGAGTAAACTTTACGAGTGGGAAACAAGATTTGCACGAAGCCATTGATGTAAGTGTGTCCAACGTACTAGTCGATGGCTTGAGAGTTTTTTTTTGTTTTGAAGTAAAAATTCTACTAATTAATACTTCGTATGGTTTTATTCTCTTATGGACAGTGTTACAGAGAGTTTAATCATGGGATGTATGGGGAAACTGGAAAGGTCTTGGAAGGGCCAAATCAATGGTTAGAGCTTTTTTTTTTTTCTAATTCCATTTATGTTTTGTGTTGAAAAAGAATAAAACAAAAGGGCTAGACGAAATTCACCAGCTTTAATTGATAGAAATTTAGTAAAAATGTTTTTTTTGTTAATCATAGATATGAATAGTGGATTAGTCAAATGATAGAATTAATAGCGGAAACTTTTTAACTGGATATAGTTTTTGTTAAACAATCATAAAACAATATAGATTTGGTTTTGGTGATGTTTTTCTTGCGTTGTTATATTTTTGAGAAAGAATAGTTGTTAAACTGAACACTTGATGAATATTTCTAAATGGTAAAAATAACAAAATCACGTTTCTAAAACGTTAAAATGTTTAAGAAAAAAGAATTGGCATGCCATACATCACCATAATATTATATTTTTTACATGAGTTTTGATGA